ATATGATAATAATGTAAGCAGTGCTGATAGAGACAGGTGGAGATATTGAGTTGGAGCAGGAATTTTGTTATGAATTTTTCTAAGAAGGGAGGGATGAAGCTACTGGAAATTTTTGAGGAAATTTCATCAATTGCTTCAATAATTAGACATAATTAAACATATGTTAGTTATACTTAAAGTAAAAGCTTTAAGAGTTTCAAGGCAAATAAACGAGTTAAGAAGGATATAAAAAAAGAAAGGGAACAAGGAGACTCCTGTGTTGAGAAATAACCTTGAGAAATGTATAAATAAGAACGAGGCTAGACCTTCAGCAGGAAATAGCACAGCACGTGTACAAGCTGCAGAAGTGAGCCTGAGAGATTAGTGACCCAGGGTCAATAGCAGAGTTAGTCATCACTATTGCATCATGTCCGGGAAACAAACGCCAATGTATGTGACCAAAAAAGGGAATGTTGGCCTCGTTTCCTTAGCCCTGTAGAAGCTACAGAAAAGTTTATATTTTATGAATCATCTAGGTGCTTTAATGCAGTATTAGTTACAGTACATGGGTGAAGCAGCACAAGTAAGTAGGGGACCGGCTAACACCATTTAACGATGACCAATAACCTGAGGGTTTTGGTTTAGTTCCTGGATTAGCCCGGGAATCACCTTGAAGCATCCAATAGGAGCACAGCACTACTTGTGGGTGATGCTGTGTCCTATTTGGATGCTCGCCAGGATACCGAGAAATTTTGCTTTAAAAATCCATGTCAGGAGCTGCAAAATCAGCTCTCCAGCCATCAAGAAACTCTCTACTAGTTTCCAGGCAGTTCAAGACAAAACCATGCAGTTGAGATCCTCTAATGTAGCCACTGCTTCAAAGGTTCCAACTCTCCAGTAAGTATCTCTCTCTCTTGATCAGTCTTTGCAAGAAGTATTATAGTTTACTATTATTGTTTAATGATTTGTATGTTGAGTTTTATAACAAGAAACTGTTGTTAAAAGTTAATAAAGATTACTTTGATTATTATTGCTGGTCTGAGACTCATATTTTTTAGTCTAACTGTAAACTCCTCGAGTTAGTGACTTGTGGCTCCTCTCGTCACGACAAAATCCTCCAACAAATAAATTTGGTGTACAGGTTGGTTTTAATTGAAACTCCAACAATTAAGCTCACCTGAGCACTGACCTGTTACAGTACTACTAATATATTAAACACATTTTAGCACCGTCTGCATGTAGGATTTAAACACCATTGTTACATGATTTGAGCTTAACATGTTTATAAATGTGTTTAAAATCTAAATGCATTTTCTATTTAGCATAATAAATATCAACTATGTTTAGGAGTTAAACACATTTGTATACGGAATCGTTTAGAATTTAAACACTCACTGCTAAATGAAACACATCTGTAAACATATAGTTGTAAGGCTAAATATTTGTAGCTAGATAAAGAGTACAATTAAAAGTTGATCGGACAGAGTGAGGTCTATATTCGTCTGTAGCTCTTGGGTTACTTAACCACCTGATGCAACATTTAAATAATCAAAGGGAAATTACTAATTCTAAGTATTATTTCATTAGAAAATACAGCTTTTAGAGTAAGGAAGAATATTTTTTAAACAGGTACGACGTTTCGCTCAAGGGTGCAATCTTTTAAAGTACGCAAGTTTTAACCGTAAAGAAGTATTTTGAAAGTTTGTCCCTGGAGAAGTAAGGTCCACCTTTCGAATGCGCTCAAGTTATAGGGTTTTTATTCATTTCTGTCAAGACTTCTTGAACCTACGTGTTTGTATAACATCATGAAGTATTTTTAAAAATATTCTTCCTCATTGTAAAAGCTGTAACTTGTAATAAATTAATAAAAGGGAAAGTTATTGAGCAGTAATACTCCCAGATTAAATTAGTGCAGTTTACAAATATATTCTATACACATTTTGGTTTACTACCCCATTTTTTAGCTTTCAGCAATGAGTTGGTTGGTAGATGGTTTTATTTAATACTCTTAGTAACTGCTACCCTGTTGACTACTTGGCAGAGGATTTGTTTATTATCAGGTTAACAGTCAAAACTGGAGTGTAATTGAATGACTTTATTGGAAGGCATCCGCATGTATAGTATAAATTATTCACATATGTACAAGATTTTTATAGAATCTTTGAAATGTAATTATGTAATTTTGACATGAGAAAGAGCACGGGTCAGAAAGAAAATGTAAAATATTCTACAATTGTAGTTACCACGAAAAAGATTGCTCCAAGTTTGTAAAGTGAGTCAGATTTTATTCTTGTTTTGTTTCTAGTTAAGCACAAAGCTACACAATTGGCTATTTGTGGTGAGCCTAATTGCCCAATATGGGTATCGAAACCAGGTTTTTAGCGTTACAAGCCTTCAGACAATGTAAGCAAGGTTAGTTCGTGGACAACAAATATAGAGTTTATATAGGATGGTCGTGAATTATACACCTACTCCATTAAAGTAGCTAGGGGTCAGTTGCTCTACCCTATTTGTTGACTAAGTTATTCAACGGTTATCTTTTTTTATTGTTACTTTACCATATTAACAGACTATATGCTGTTATAAAACAGGATGATTTTTACAAACAAATCAATGTAGAAAATAATTTGAAGGATAAACACCTTTTTAACTCCTTCTTAATGTGACTTTCTTCTTTTCTGTCTTGGCCCTTGTTGTTATTTTTATCTTAGTAACACAAGTATAAAAGTTAACTAATTATATACTCCATTAAGTTCTCTACCGATTTTAACAAGTAAAGCAGTAGTAACTAACTACATACTCCATTAAGTTCTCCACCTGGTTTAACAAGTAAAACGGTAGTAACTAATTATATATACTCCATTAAGTTCTCTACCGATTTTAACAAGTAAAACGGTAGTAACTAACTACATACTCCATTAAGTTCTCCACCTGGTTTAACAAGTAAAACGGTAGTAACTAATTATATACTCCATTAAGTTCTCTACCGATTTTAACAAGTAAAACGGTAGTAACTAACGATATACTCCATTAAGTTCTCCACCTGTTTTAACAAGTAAAACAGTAGTAACTAATTATATACTCCATTAAGTTCTATACCTGTTTAACAAGTAAAACTGTTAGTAACTAATTATATACTCCATTAAGTTCTATACCTGTTTAACAAGTAAAACTGTCAGTAACTAACTGTATACTCCATTAATTTCTCCACCTGTTTTAACAAGTAAAACTGTTGGTAACTAACTATATATACTCCATTAATTTCTCCACCTGTTTTAACAAGTAAAGCGGTTAGTAACTAACTATATACTCCATTAAGTTTTCCACCTGTTTTAAGAAGTAAAACGGTTAGTAAGTAATTATATACTCCATTAAGTTATCCACCTGTTTACCAAGTAAAACGGTAGTAACTAACCATATACTCCATTAAGTTCTCTACCGATTTTAACAAGCAAAGCGGCAGTAACTATATACTCCATGAAGTTCTCCACCGATTTTAACAAGTAAAACGATAGTAACTAACTATATACTATATACATTTAAATAACTAAAAAAATCATAAATTACTAGATCAAAACCATAGAATTCCAGTATAATTTATCAAGCTTAGTAACTAAGATGTATTTTAGTCTAAAAAATGTGAAATTTTGAGCAGACTAAAGACACACCCTACCTCGTTGAAATATTGGTTCAAAAGAAAGAAATGGCGCCAAGTCCGTTAAAATGGCTGAGAAAGCCAATAGGGGGACATTCTGAACTTCTGATTGGTTATTAATGTCATATATAGAAGTAAGGGAGCGTTTCCAAAAATGGAAAAAAATGGGTGGGGTGCCACTGGGTTTGATTTATTACATGAGCAATATTTTAGCAAACTGAAAATATAAGAGGCTCTTATTTTATATTCTAGGTTGTCAATATCGGTAATTTGAGTTTCTAATTCGTTCGAAACTAAAGACTTAGTATTTTGACTTCGCAAACATCTAATTTGAACCAATGCTACATTCAACATACCATGTGACACACAAAATCGATGTTTATCTGTTTTTAAATTAAGAAATGGAGTAATATATAGTACTAAAAGTTGAATGATAATCTCCAGTTTGATACCAAACTTGTTGACATAAATTCATGAAATAGTAGTTCAATAAACGAGATGATATGGCCTTTCACCCGTGTACCTTCTCGAAAGGGTTAAATATAAGGAAGATAACACTTGTTTTAATTAACTAACCACTTGTAACTACTAGAGTGTAAACAAATATCCAGTAGATATGTATGCTACTAAATAAAGTTTTGCTCGGTGTGATCTAGTGGTTAGCGTGTTGGGATGCACTTCAAAGAGTGCAGAGTTCAAAAGATGCTGCTGAACAAAATCTGCTGTGGGTGTGTAATAAAGGTTACAGTAAATATCATTATTAGGTTAAATAGTCGAATAAAGTCCTTGTTACGTCGGGTGTTTCTGACTGGCTGCCTTCCTGTTGGTTATCACCCAGCTCTTCTTCATATGCCCTTTTTGATTTCTTAATTTCTTTGTCATCAGTTCTCTGGTTTTCTATAGATCTATAAATATACCATCTTATCTTTGAATTTAAATTTCTTAAGCTTTTGATATTTATTCCTAAATTCCCCCATTTATGTCTTTAGTGGGCCAATTAGGTCTAATCTTCCCTTTTATCCTTCTCCTGTTTCTAGGGTCAAAAGTAATTTATTTTTCATATTTTCCAAATCTATCCCTCGTCACTTCTAACCCATTGTCATTTTAACTCATTAATTGTAACGAAGATAATTGCTCAGCGGTTTCTGTCTTACAAAGTGGTAACCAACCAGGGTCTTATCAAGAACAGAGTGGTAACCTACCATGGTCTTATCAAGAACAGAGTGGTAACCTACCAGGGTCTTATCAAGAACAGAGTGGTAACCTACCAGGGTCTTATCAAGAACAGAGTGATAACCTACCAGGGTCTTATCAAGAACAGAGTGATAACCCACCATTGCTTGTAAAGTAGAAAGTGAGAACTCACCTGTCTCATCCATTCATTTCTTCTCTCAGCAATGTCTTGATAAGTTTTTCCCATCATGGCAATTAACATGTTGATCAGGAGAATAGTGACCAACGCCATGTACATGATGAACAGGATCTGACAAGAAATACAATTTCCTGTAAAATTAAATATTAAAAATTCGTTTATAAAGAATATTATGAGAAATTTTAATTTTTCTGATTCAGAATGATCCGAATTCGCATACTATAAGGTAAACCTAACCTTGAGAATACGTACATACATCCTTGAAAACCAATACAAATAAATTTTTGTTTCTTTGTATACCTACCGCTAATGTTAAACATTGTTTTTTCCATATCTACCGCTAAATGTAATTACTGCTCTTTCTGTATCTATCGCTAATGTTAATTATTTTTCTTTCTGTATATACCATTAATGTTAATTATTGTTCTTTCTAAATATAGCGCTAATGTTAATTATTGTTCTTTCTAAATATAGCGCTAATGTTAATTATTGTTCTTTCTAAATATAGCGCTAATGTTAATTAATGTTGTTTTTATATCTACCGCTGATGTCAATCAATGTTCTTTCTATATCTATCGCCAATGTTAATCATTGTTCTTTCTATATCTACCACTAATGTTAATTATTGTTCATTCTGTACCTTCCGCTACTTTTAAATATTGTTCTTTCTATATCTAGCCTAAATGTTAATTATTCTTCTGTCTAAATCTACCGTTAATATTAATGATTGTTGTTTTTATATCTAAAGCAAATGTTAATTATTGTTCTGTCTAAATATACCGTTAGTATTAATTATTATTTTTTTCTATGCCTACCGCTTATGTTAAGTATTGCTCTCTCTATATCTACAGCTAATGTTAATTATTATTTTTTTCTATGCCTATTTTTACATATTAAATTCCAAAAAAGTTCCTTTTATTCAAATTTAGCTTCTTTTGGTTTCTAACAACAACAACAAAAATATTTCTCTTTTTCGTCAAAGTCCACACAGGTAGGTTCAGTTACTTTAGAACACCCTATGACAACACAAGTTATTCTCATCTATCTCTGTTATTAGAATACAAGTAGAGCTGCCAATCCTTCAAAACTATTTTCACACTTGGCCATGTCAGTCCATCTTGTGAAGTATCGCGTTTGACTTCTTTGAACTTGCAATGGAAACCTTCCTCAGTAAGTTCATAGCATTTCAGCAAGGTTACTTTTAACTAGTCATAGTCAATGGCATATTGTTATGTCATGCTTGCATACACTTGTAGGCCTTTTCCTGTGAGCTAAGACAGACTGCCCAGTCGCCTTTGTTCCAGTTCTGACTTTGGCCAAACTTTCCTATCTCTCTAAGAAAGCATTCATGTCGTCTTTCTGTTCATCATATATTGGTAGCTTGGGTCAGTTGTCCCTGACTCCATTGTCATTCTTGGGTTCTTCCTCTTTCTTTTGGGTGAGCTTTGTGATCTTAAATTTGTGCTCTTATTCTCTCTATTTGTAGTCTCTCCCTCTCTTCTTTCAGTCTTTCTTTTCTATTTCCCTTTCTTCTTTAGTCTTTCTTCTTCTCTCTATCTCTCTGGTTCTTGTTGTTGTTTAATGAATTCTCGTAGATCACAATATTTTAGCCCAAGGTGCTCACCTCCCTCTATCCATTTATCAAAATCAACTGGCGTGATTATATAGCGTGATTGTAATCTCTACACTATTTTCGACACCACTACAGTTGTATGTATATAGGCCTACTTCCGCTGTCATTCACACCTTCTTCTATTGCTGTTTGCCACTGTAGTATCATGGCTGGCTCGCCAATGTCAGGTTTTTATAGGGCCAGGATTTTTTCTGTGACTTGTTGGCGATAAATTTCAACAATAAACGGACAGTGCACAATCCACTTATTTTAAAATAATATATTCAAAACAAGTCAAACATACGTACAAATCTTCGTTACAATATTGAGCTTTAAGTAAATGTCTCTTTTTCGTCAAAGTCCACACAGACGGATTCTATTACTTTAGAATATCTTTTGGCAATAAAATTATTCCCCTTCACTCTGTTGCTTGCAATACAAGGCTGTGACACTCTCTTTCAAATCGCCACTATAACTGTTGGTTACCACAGTTGTGTCCAGAGCTTTAAATATTTGTCTCCTTTTCGTCAAAGTGCACACAGATGGTTTCATTTGTTAGGTCGTCAAGAAATTAATGTCGCTGTTTTTTAGATGAAAAAACCCAAACAACTTATATATCAAAACAAAATCTATATAAACAAAATAAGAGTTTTGTCTGTACATTGCTTA